CTCGGGGCAGCGAGTCGGGCCCAAGCACACCACCCTCAAATTCATCATGGTCATCCTCACATCCATCCCTCATTCTTTCTTCCCCAATTCCAAAATCACGCAATAGGCCATCCACATCACCTCCCGACAGATGCTGCGACAGCTGCAGCCATCTTGGGATTTCTGTATGGTGGCAGCCTAGAAGGAGGCCCGGGTATTGGGGGCCATCCTGGGGTTGGGGGAGGACCAGTGCCTGGAGGAACAGGGTTGGGAGGAGTTGGCTTTCCTCATGCAGTTGCTGCTCACCGGGATCGCATGAAGCCGGGATTTGAGTTTAAGAGTGATGAACGGGTCTACCCACCAGGGTCCATTCATGATCCTGCAGCACTTGCCCTTGCTCACTCTCATTCCCACGCCAATGCCCACACCCACGCACATGCACATGCCCACTCATTGCTCCTTGGGGGAGGCGGAGCGGGAGCCAATGAGGTGTCACTCTATTGCACTCCTCCTCCCCCGGCTCCAACCGGCCCACCACACCTCCAGAACCCGACACTGGCCCCAGTAACTCGACCTCCCAATCCTCCTGCCCCGCAGTCCCTGTCCAATCCACCTCCTTCGTCGCTTCTACCACCTTCGCACCCTAGTCATCCTTCATCTGCGCCACCACTTACTGCCCCGCCCCCTGCAGCCCCTGCCGCACCTCCAGCGGCTCCCCCTCCTCCACCCGCTCCGCCAACCTCCAGCGCCACCTCAATTCATCACCCAGTCGCCAATTCTTCTTTTCCTAGTTCCCTGTCCTCCCATCAAACGTCAGCCCCGGCCACTTCCGAGGCGTACCCGACTCCCGCTCGGTCACCGGCCCCCTTTGAGCGGGACCGCGGCGGAGAGCGGGAGCGAGAAAGGGAACGGGACAGAGCGCCATTGCCGGCCTTTGCGGAAAGGGAGCGCGAGAGAGAGCGGGAGAGGGAAAGGGGAGGGAATGGAGGAGGGGCAGGCGGAGGCAACACAAACGGAGGAGGAACAGGTGGAGGAGAAAATATGGGTCGTGTCCAGATGCTGAATGTGACGCCCCACCATCACCAGCATTCCCACATCCACTCGCATCTGCACCTGCACCAACAAGACACAGGTACCCACTGCTACTAGCTAGGCCACCGTGTTTGAATTCCCACGATGTGATCTCGATTTCCAGTGTTTGCTGTCTCTTTGGCTCCTATTAAATATCTCCTTTATTTCCTATTACATCATTGGCATCTAGCGGCGGGCGGGGTTCACCCCCTGATGGACCCGCTGGCGTCAGGGTCTCCTTTGGCGCGGCTTCCTTACCCAGGGGCGACAATAGGCACCCCCATCCTGGCTCACCCCCTCACTGACAGCGAGGTGCTTCGCCAACAGCTGTTTGGTGAGGAGAAGACTCCTCGTCCATGTACTCGCTCACTTTTTTTACTCTCCAAACAGTCCTCAAAAGTTGATCGAGAATGATCCGGCGGGGAAACTGATGATTTGGCTACACTTCTGCCAGGTGCTCCTTTCCGTGACATGCCCCAACCGTCCTCCCTCACTGGTCCCATGTCGGCAGCCCATCAGCTCCAGGCCATGCAGCAGGCCCAGAGCGCGGAGCTGCAGATCCAGAGACTGGCCCTGGAACAACAGTGGATTCATCACCATCACCACCACTCCCTCACCCAGGACGAGTACTACAGGTATGCCATTTGTGCTCATGGTCTAACTAAGGCCGGGCACCAGTTTCTACAAGTCTTGACATGATCCCAAAATCCCAAAAAAGAGCTGTATACCTTAAGAGCGGCCCGGTGGGCCAGTGGTTAGGGCGTCGACCTCACAGTGCAGAGGTACCGGGTTCGATTCCAGCTCCAACCTTCTTCTATGGAGTTGCCATCATCTCCCCGTGCCTGTGTGGGTTTTCTCCGGGTACTCCGGTTTCCTCCCACATTCCAAAAACATGCACGGCAGGCTGACTGAACACTCTAGATTGTCCCTAGGCGTGAGTATGAGCGCGGATGTTTGTTCGTCTGTGTGTGCCCCGCGATTGGCTGGCAACCGGTTCAGGGTGTCCCCCGCCTACTGCTCGACGACGGCTGGGAGAGGCTCCAGCACGCCCCAGCAATCTTTGTTAGGAAAAGGCGGATCAGAAAATGGATGGATGGATGAACTTCCCAAATGTGCTGTACTAAATTCTAGAAAAATGTTGGCGTCCCTGTGACATCGTGGAACACTTTGGACATATAATTCAGGGAAGTACCACTCACGTTACACTTTGAGAGTCACTTCTTGAACAGCTAGGGTAGCTAAGTTTCCCGATCACAAGCCAAATCTAACTGGGCCCTTTTGACTTTGCCTTTGAGAATCCAGCACAACTGACTTTGGACCTACTCCGGTTTCAAGTTTCAGGTCTCGCCGGATAAATTGGCCAGAAGACCGAAGACATGTAAAAGTGCTGACTTAACATGAATATATTTTCTCCTTTGACCTTTCAGTCACCTGAAGAAGGAGAGTGACAAGACCCTGTGAGGGAGTCGACCAAGAAGGAGAGGCGTGGAGTTTAAAAAAAAAAAGAAGAAGAAGAAAAAGAAAAAGGGAGAACGTGTGCAAACTTTAAACAAAACGAAGCAAGATGAAAGCACTAAAATCTATGACGAGACAAAGACTGACTACAAACCCGGACGGGGTAATTTACAATCCTTCTCAAGTTGAGTGCACCCTGGTGAAGTTCCAGACTCTTTTCCTGCATCGTGTTCTTGAACTTCAGTCCCGTTTTGTACTTGTACGGTGGTCTGTACAGTAGATGAATTCGATGGGGGCGGCGACAGCGTGAGGTACAGTGATGTGTAAAATACTTGACGCCGGACGGAATGTGAGTCTTTTTAATGTCATTGCATGTAGCTTTAGGGACTTACTCGGATCCGGTGGAACATTTGGTTCTTCATTTTAGTTAAAAAAAAAAAAAAAAAAAATCAAAAAAAAAAAGCCCTCATTTGTACCTGAGGGTTCTATATGCATGAGACCAGCCTTTTAATGTTCTGTTTACAACAGTATTGTTATTATTATTATTATTATTATTATGTCATCTGTGAGTTGATAATGATATAATTATATATACAGTACACATTATTTGTATTATTTTTTTACATTTCCATGGTATGACTGTCAGTTTTGATTTTTATTTGAAATTGACCTTGTGAAACAAGATGCAAAGTAAGTAAAACAATACAAAGAAACAAATCTGGAAATAAATGATGTCTTTTTTTGCTATGTTTTTACTTTATATAATAACCCCCCCCCCAATCTTTGTTTTATACAAGTCACTCATGCACAAAGCATATCAAATTCCTCATGTGCCTCCCCCTCCCCCTTTTGGACTCCCTCTGTCAAACCCCTCCTCTCTTTTGGCGAGTGTGGCTAATAGGAGACACATGGGATGAGTGTGAGGCATGGGAGTTGAGTTGCTCCATTGAACAGCAGCCGCCCTGTAGAGCTGGCATTCCGTAGTGAACTGTAAAAAGGGGAGAAAAAAAAAAGAAAAAGAGGGGGGAGAAATGGAGGAGGAGGAGGAGCTGTGAGATTGTGATTTACGGACTGTGCTGAAGGCTCGGCGCGGTGATGTGTTTTCTCGCCACGTCCGGCCAGAGGAACCTCCTTCAAAACGGACACGGATCATTGAACGAGGCCTTCAGACGCTGCAGGGACCTCTGGCAGAACAAACTTCAATCTTCTCTTTTGGTGATCATGCGATACAGGACTCTGCCTGTTATCTGCTAAGGTTAACAGGCCTGAAAAATGCAATCAAATCTCATCGAATGATGGAGAGGCTCAGCTCACGCGCAGACATGAGAAAGCATGCGCTTGCGTGTCATTAAAAGTCACCTTGACAAAAGTGTGTCAATGTAATGTGTAACAATCTGATTGTCCTCCCTCTGATGACATCGCACCCCTGCCGGTGGTATTCTTAGCGCTTCATCGGTCCTTTGTGAGGAAGGCGAAGCACATTGTGAAAGGTGAGTTTGAAAGATGAACAAACCTGCGCGTGCCCGTTGTACTAAAAATCTCAATGAAATCATGAGCATACGCTTTGGGGAAAACAGGGGAACTATTTGGATAAAAATATTGATTCCGAGGAGCATATGCTGTGCTGTTGCCAGTCACTTCATTAGGTACAGCAAGATTCACATCCTGTTGACAAAAGAATAATGCGACAGAACTGCACACAACACACACACACACACACACACACACACACACACACACACACTCAAACTTTACTTGTATATTCATACTGGTAGTGACCTTGGAAGAAAAAAACACAAAAACAAACACCGCAATTATAAATGTCGATCTGCCCGGTGGATGACAAAAAGACAAAAAGAGGTTTCTATCACACATTTTTTACTTTAACTGTTTATAACTTATCTTCACTGCATCACGCTGAGATGTGTTTCTAATGTTTTGCTCAAGGTAACCAGAATATTGGATAAAATAACAAGCACTGTGTCGTACTAAATATATTATCTCAGTGCAATACTACACCCAAATATGTAACATAGATTTCAGTCATGTGTACATGCTAGATGCACAATAATATTTATAATCCTCTCTGCTGCAAATGCTTTGCCGCCATCTTGTGCCATTTATTATACAATTACAAACCCATTTGTGGGGTGTGTCAAATACTTTTTTTAATGGGGAGAGGCGGTGTCAATTACTTGAATATTTTTAATATTTGCAGCAAAACAGTAACAAAAGCTAAAAGCAATCGCCGTAAAAAGAGTAATATAGTGGCAACACAAACAATGAACCACGATTGAGATGTGGCGGCGGGGAGACATTGAATAACTCAACTAGTGCAATACAATTATTAAGGTTTACAATATAAATGTGAATTTATCAGAAATGATCATCCACTCGAAACGAATGTTAAAATTACAATCAGCGAAAGAATAATAGCGACGCAACGAAACTCATCGTGACTTGCTGGCCCGTTCACATAAATGCGAACTACGGATGGAGCGAGTCTCTAAATGGTCCACATGCTATGTTGTGACTATGTTGACATGTTTGATGTGGCATGAAGAAGACTGGGCCGCATTCTTGAGCTGACGCAACAGCTCCACAGTCATGTCTTGCCTCCCCGAGGAGCTGTCAAAGTCAATCAAGACCCCCGCCCCCTGGCCACCAACACGGCGCCTCCTTAACTTTGCCGCGCATTTTCTCAGCAGGCTCACGTTTGCCCCGCTGACCTGGAGATGAGCCTTGAGGCTGGCTGTCATTTCCCGCTCTTGTCACAGTCACACGTGTCGCGTCCAGAGACAGTCAATAAGCATCGCGCGACATCTCATTCATCTTTGGGAGGCAACTCACAAAAGCAGCTGAGTGGGTCGGTCTCTCTCAGCCACTCCACTCCAGTGAGGCGAAGACGATCACAGAGGATCGCCTTGAAGCATTGTCGACCATCTCGAGCAGCAGACGAGGGCTCTCTGCCTGCCTGAGGAGGTGCGGCAGACAACTCTGGAGTTGTTTCCACCTGCAAAGTGATGCAATGATATTAAGGATTGGACGGTTGAGAAGCAGGGGAATAAAATAAAAAGGTTTGAGGGTAAAAAAACAACAAAAAATGCCATAAGAATAAGAAAAATAAATCAAATCTGCAAAATGTTGCCTGATTTGGGGTTGCATGGCAAACAAATAAAAATAATAATAATAATAATAATGGCAATAAGATAAGAAAATCAGAAGATAAACGAAGACATTATAAAATAGTGAATAAAGGTAAACATGAAATATACAAACATCATTTAAAATGAATTACAATGAATGACAATAATAAAAAACTGATACAGAAAGTCTACACAGCCCAGTTGAAATGCCAGATTTTTGTGATGTTAAAAAAAATAAGAATAATTAAAAAAAAAAAAAACGGAGCAAGCCAAATCATTTCAAAACTTTTTCCACCATTAATGTGACTTACAACCTATAACTCAAAGGATTTTTTACACTTATGTCTTTGAGAAAGAATTTATCATTAAAAAACTGAGATGATACTGTTGCACAAGTGTGCACACCCTCATATTTCTGAGGATGTGGCTGTGTTTAGAGTCAACTACTGTAATCCCTTTGAAATTTACGTTAAAGAGAGCTATCAGAGATCTGCCACCATTTAAAGCGAAATAAAGTTCAGTTGTTCCGAGTAGATTTTTTGAACAAAAGTGTGGAGATTTTATATATCCCCTACAATAATAATCAAGGAGCAACGCCTGGATTAGCATAGCGGTAAGGGGAAAAAAATCTAATATAATTAAGTATTTAGAACACACTAAATCCCCAACAAGGACAGAAGTACAGTAAAACAAATTTATCTACCACAAATACAACTCGGAGATGTGAAATGACTTTGTGGATTCACTTAACAAGTATGCAACACTATAAAAGAACATTTTCCCTTTCCAATGGGACAGTCTGTAACTTTAGTTGTGTTTTTGTTTTCCGGGCACTATTGCACCATCGCTGGCAAGTAGTCAGTCAACGGTGTTTCCCTCCCCGCTTCACAATAACAGACATTCGGCACCCTTCACTTAAACACTTATCCAGATGGTAGAATGAAAAGGTTTGGTAATTAGGAAGAAATATGTGCCTACCGTACATCCACACACACTAAGTATGCGTATGCACGTTCTGTAGAAAACAATCTTGAAACACTGGCCCACACCTCAGTGCTGCTCTCATGATTTCTTGAACGGGATTTATGAATCATGTGTGGAAAGGTCAGAAAAGGAGAAAATAAAAGAAGGCTGTTAGCTTTCAAGCCCAGAAGTACATTTTGGAAATGCGATTTAAAAAAAAGAGTTTCTGCAGGTGTGCCTTTTAGTAACTTCTTGGAGGGATTGAGAATTTGGGAGTTTTCATCAGAGGGTGACTTTAAAAACAAACTCAAAATTCCAAATTAAAAAGAAATTACGTGTCTAGTTTTTCTGTTTACGTTATTACATATTTACTTTTAGTGCAAAAAGAAGAGAGGAAAACTACCTAACATATAATATAAACAGAGGTTTTTAATCTTGTTTTCCTTCTTATCGATTTAGAGCTCAACTTACCTTATTTCTATTTTTAAATAAGTTTGTGCAGGAAATGCTCACATTGAGTTACTCGTTTCAAAACCAATACTTCATTTAAACCACGACGCGCCACTTCTGCCCCCCACAGGATTACACGGAAACAGCATCAATTCAGGAGTCAAACTCATGGCAGCTCGAAGCAAAATACAAAAATCTCACATTAAATAAAGTCATGTTGAAACGTTTTATTCGTGTAGTTCAACAGGGGTTATTGCACAAAATAAGTGCATCAAAAGTGACGTTTGGAATTTCATTACCAGCCCAGGTCATTAGTGGAGTAGTGTTTTAATACTGTATTATTTTCAGCAAGACGACGCCGTAATACTATCATGTACCTCGTTTTGACCATTTGATATTTGTTGTTCACGCAATGACAATATATGCCTGTGTGTATTGGTCTATGCTGTGTTTGTGTTGCTGCTCCATGTTTATTAAAATAGCAAATGTTTGAAGGTTCATTACCGTAACATCGATGCTAATTCTACTCACCCTATATGAAAATTTTCCAGCAAATTTCATCTGGAAGTTCTTGCTTCATTCTGGAATTTCTAGGGCGGCTACCACAAGTAGTACATGTGCTCTCTCTAGTTGGACATAAAAGAATCCTTGAATTAAAATATTACACCAGTACAGTACATAGTATTATGGAGGTTTAAACTTTTTTTTTTTAAATCCACTAAAGTACATTTTTAAGGACAGTTTAGCTGTATTTAACTTCTTCTGGCAATAGAGTAACGTTTGCTCTTTTAAAACATTTTTTTAAAGTCTTTACTTAACTTTTATGAACAATACATTTATTTGAACGGAATCATTATTGGAGTACATGCAAGCAAACAAGACACTAAAACAGTCTCTAAACAGTTTATTATATTTACTTACGGCTCCTCACCCTCAAAAACCATCAACATGACACGACTCTGTGAAGTAGCCAACGACAACGCGTCGAAAAACATACAGGACAGGAGACACTGATAATTTGAATCATTTTTCCTCACAACTGGAAGTACGCATACAAATGGGAATGACAACACTGCACAAGTACTTTCAATTTAAAAGTAAAAGGAAAAAGCTGCTGAGTCGACAGATGTCCAATAGAGAGGCCCCACTTCATTCGCAAACATGCCATTTAGTCAATATCAATCCATTTTCTAAAGCGTTTGTCCTCAATGAACGGTAGCTGATCCGAGATGATGGACTGGTCGCTGCCCAATCGCCGGGTCCATGTGGACAAACGGGCAGTGGGCCTAGTACATTTTAAAGTTGGTTATAAGAGTGGCACTATTTTGATACGCTTCAAGAATCACTGAATTAGACTGAACCTAACAGGCAAGTTTTGGGATCTGGGAGGAAGCCATAGTACCTGGAGAACACAAACCTAAAACCTCAGGGGCAGACAGAGGAACCGCCAGTCCACCTGCTGAATAAATACTACTTACATGATAAATACGACTACATACATTTCTTTCCTGAACATGCCAGGTCATTGAGGCGCATTAGGCCTCTTGTGGGCAATTCTCACGTGCCTTCCGAGAGACTCCATCCATTTGAAGGCCTTGCTGCAGTAAATGCACACGTAGTGTTTACCCTCGGTGTGTATGGTCTGGTGTCTGTTGAGGGCGCTGGTGGTGATGAAGCTCTTCCTGCAAATGTCACACCTGTAGGGCCTCTCGCCCGTGTGCGTCCTGATGTGAGCGGCCAGGTGGGAGCAGTTGCCGAAGCGCTTGTCGCAAACCGAGCAGCTGTAGGGCTTCTCCTTGCCCTCGTCAACGCCGCCGGAGTGATAGAGGTGGAAGGGCAAGATGGGCTCGTGCAAGGCGGCCCTCACGCCTGACGCCGAGGACATGAAATCTTTCATATCTGACTCCAGGTCCTCCAGAGGCTCTGAACTGTGGCCGAGCCAGAACTCCCTGAGGCTCCTCTCGGGTTCTTTTTTCACTTGGGCAACATCACCGGGATGCTCCAAGCTACTGCTGCTGCCTTCGTCCTCCATGTGCTGTGACTCGGGGGCCTCCGTGTCTGCTGATGCGCCCTCCTCATGCTTCTGAGGAGGGGGAGGAGGGAGGTGGTGATGGGTGTGCTCCTGCAGCTGGGCTCCGTTACATGCATCTAGTGAAAAGAACGACATTGAAAACAAAACCACATACAAAGAAGGTTTTTCGATTGATGGATACCAGTGAAACCGACCTGACTTGAGAAGCCTGAGCTGCATCCTAAGGCGACCGATCTCCAAGTCCTTCACGCGGCAAAGCTCCTCTTTGTACTCGTCTATTGTCTTCTCGACGGCGCCGAATATCTCGTCCGCGACCGCCGCCAGCCGCTCGTTGAGAAAAGCTTTCAAAGAGAGCATCATGTCGCCGGATGTGGAGAGGGAAAAGCTCCAATTTGCACCGCCGAGACGTAGTTTTCACTGGACCCTGAACGTCACGGTCCGCTTGTAAATACGGAAATGAGCTTCCGTCGGGAGGAATGGACAAGTCGATTATTTGCTCCCCCTACCGTAGTGGAGGTGCAAATGCACGACAGTGCCACTGTTTTAATGTCCACATAAATCGTTTCAAATTACAGTATACAAATATGGAATAAGATTTAAGAAAATGTTTATATGTCGTTTGTCAATTTTTTGTACATATTTGCGTCGTCCTATCATGTATCATGTTTGCCCTCAGAATTATTAATAAATCATTTTAGACAATTATAACATAAAATACAGGAAATAAAAACAACACTTTGGTGCATATCTAGGTTGCCCGGTGGTGTATTATGTTAACTTGTCCTCTGAAACAATCATAATCATTTACAATATAAAATAAAATTTAAATAAAACCACGAATAAAAATCTTCAAAATCAAAATGACATTTTGGTAGGAATTTAGAATGTGTGATCATCTATCATGGCATCTTGTCATGAAAAGTATTAACTTTGAATCATTAAATAACTACAATAAAATCAAAAAAATGTCATTGTCAACAAAAATAACTTGCATCATCTTGTCTTCTTCTCAGAATAATTGCATTATGTCTTGCATACTTTTATGTCATGATGTCCATAGACTTTTGATTTGTCTCATATATCCGTTTGTAAAGTTTGCCGTTCGGCTCAAATGTATATTCTTGTACTTTTAGCAGGTGGGAGCCTTTTTTCCTTTCAGTGCTCAATTCAGTTTTTATGGTCCTCAGAGGCCACACCGAATTCATCAAACTGCACGAATGAAGCAAAACAAGACACTCAAGGGATATCTAATCGCTTTATTATGTTTCCTCAGACCTTTGTCACCCTCAAAACCATCTGCCGTGACACAACATCAACGGGCATGTCATGGATACGCCAATGCGAGCGCGGCTCATGCACAGCTACAGTACGGGGAGGGGAAAGCCACAGACGATGCCTTAGAAACACAAGAGAAGACACGCGCTCATCATAAATGTGATTGGAAGACGGGCTGGTAACCGTTTCAAGGAAAGAGCGAATGGTCTTTCCAGCTCGTTGTGGAAGTGGTGAGTGCACACAAGTTTTCAGGGCATGTGCCAACCCGCTCCGATCCTGTTCCTCAAAATGAGACGCGCCCCAGACACATACAAGGAGAGCATGACAGCGTTGCGCAAGGGTCTTTAATTTAAAGTGATGAATGATAGAAAGGGGTGGGCAAAGTGTGAAGTTGATGGATCTTCAGATTCTCTACATCTTGGCGTTGATGATTTCGATGAATTCGGGCTTGAGGGAAGCGCCGCCAACCAGGAAACCGTCCACGTCCTTCTGGGAGCCCAGTTCCTTGCAGGTGGCGCCGGTGACGGAACCTGCAAGAAGAGAACACAGGAGCCGAGACCCATGAGAGATGCTTGTCAGATGGATGGCTTTTGTTTTGTTTTTTTTCCTCTGCCCCACGACAAACCTCCGTAGATGATCCTCACGGAGTTTGCGACCGCCTCGGACACGTTGGACTTGAGCCACACCCTCAGCTTATCGTGAACCTCTTGAGCCTGCAAATTTACAAGGGAGGTGCTGTGAACTTGGAAGCAGTGGTACAAAGACGTCATTGCCGCATTTCAGCAGATTTCTTCAGTCATCTGTACCTTACAAGAGTATTTCTTTCCTGATGACTTGAGTTTTTCTCCCCAAACTTGGAAAATGCATTTCTGCACTTTCTACTCTTTACTTTTTCAAAATAGGCTCGTGACTTTTTTTTTTTTTGAACCACTGCAGATGACGACGTGATAGTTGGGAGGGGGAGGGTGGGGTCAACTGTAAATATATTGTTCAGAAAAATAAATATTTTGCATGGAATTGACAAATTGACGGCAAATTTTCAATGATCGTATTGCCGTTTGTTCATTAAAAGCATATTTTGTATAGAACACACAATAAACAGAACTAAAAATAAACATAAATACTGACACACAAATATGCAATGGGAGGAAGAAGCAATCAATTCATGAAGTTATCAGAATCTGAATCCTTGTCATACGCGTTTGTATTTCTAATAGTTCAAGGTCTCATATTTAGCACATTTCTGTTGCACCATGGCTTTATTTTTATTATTTTTTTTCCCCCAATACACCGTGACTTTAGGTTGTGTATAAAATAGCGACATCGAGGTCGATTCCTAAGGTGCTGCTTGTAAAAAAAAAATGACATGTACATTGTTTTGAATGACAGGGCAACAGAATTCATTCGATATATTAAAGGATACAAGGTAATATATGGGATCGAATTTTGTTGTTGTCAATATTGAGGCCAGCGTCAATTGTGAGTACAACTGCTGTAAAACGACATGAAAGGCGCAAACATCGGCTAGTTTGAAGGGGCGATTAATCGGTTGGGCCGTAATATAATTGACAGTTAAAAAAAAAAAATGTTTCTGTTTACTTTGGTACATTTCTTGCCTTCAAGTGCACCAGAATTGAAACGGTATTTCTGCTTTTACCGATATATCATATGTTTGTGACTCAAGTATCCCTTCCTTCACTTAAGTATTAAGTTTGAGTACTTTTCCTGCTTTGAGCGACCGACGGCGTCAAAGAGACCGATTTTACCTGCTGGGGGGAGGCAGTCTTGCCGGTGCCGATGGCCCACACGGGCTCGTAAGCGAGCACCACCTTGCTCCAGTCCTTGACGTTGTCTGGAACAAAATGAGACAAGAGATAAGTCGACTGGAAATTCCACCAATCAGAATTCCCAAAGGGCTTGAGCCCAAACTTGTATTTGGGCTCGTTTATCACACCACATTGCAGCAAGGTACAGTTTCCGCAATCAACAATGTGCTGCGAAAAGAAAGAGGCAGCGGAGGGTAATGTTTGATTTCAAGAGCTGTTAGATAAGACCCCCTTGCAATTCCAACAATCGCATTTGTGCTTGTACATGACAGCAAAGATGAGGGGAACTCGTTTATGATGTTAAAATGAACCACTGCAGATGACGACGTGATAGTTGGGAGGGGGAGGGTGGGGTCAACTGTAAATATATTGTTCAGAAAAATAAATATTTTGCATGGAATTGACAAATTGACGGCAAATTTTCAATGATCGTATTGCCGTTTGTTCATTAAAAGCATATTTTGTATAGAACACACAATAAACAGAACTAAAAATAAACATAAATACTGACACACAAATATGCAATGGGAGGAAGAAGCAATCAATTCATGAAGTTATCAGAATCTGAATCCTTGTCATACGCGTTTGTATTTCTAATAGTTCAAGGTCTCATATTTAGCACATTTCTGTTGCACCATGGCTTTATTTTTATTATTTTTTTTCCCCCAATACACCGTGACTTTAGGTTGTGTATAAAATAGCGACATCGAGGTCGATTCCTAAGGTGCTGCTTGTAAAAAAAAAATGACATGTACATTGTTTTGAATGACAGGGCAACAGAATTCATTCGATATATTAAAGGATACAAGGTAATATATGGGATCGAATTTTGTTGTTGTCAATATTGAGGCCAGCGTCAATTGTGAGTACAACTGCTGTAAAACGACATGAAAGGCGCAAACATCGGCTAGTTTGAAGGGGCGATTAATCGGTTGGGCCGTAATATAATTGACAGTTAAAAAAAAAAAATGTTTCTGTTTACTTTGGTACATTTCTTGCCTTCAAGTGCACCAGAATTGAAACGGTATTTCTGCTTTTACCGATATATCATATGTTTGTGACTCAAGTATCCCTTCCTTCACTTAAGTATTAAGTTTGAGTACTTTTCCTGCTTTGAGCGACCGACGGCGTCAAAGAGACCGATTTTACCTGCTGGGGGGAGGCAGTCTTGCCGGTGCCGATGGCCCACACGGGCTCGTAAGCGAGCACCACCTTGCTCCAGTCCTTGACGTTGTCTGGAACAAAATGAGACAAGAGATAAGTCGACTGGAAATTCCACCAATCAGAATTCCCAAAGGGCTTGAGCCCAAACTTGTATTTGGGCTCGTTTATCACACCACATTGCAGCAAGGTACAGTTTCCGCAATCAACAATGTGCTGCGAAAAGAAAGAGGCAGCGGAGGGTAATGTTTGATTTCAAGAGCTGTTAGATAAGACCCCCTTGCAATTCCAACAATCGCATTTGTGCTTGTACATGACAGCAAAGATGAGGGGAACTCGTTTATGATGTTAAAAAAATAAGAATAATTAAAAAAAGAAACAGAGCAAGCCAAATCATTTCAAAACTTTTCCACCATTAATGTGACTTACAACCTATAACTCAAAGGATTTTTTACACTTATGTCTTTGAGAAAGAATTTATCATTAAAAAACTGAGATGATACTGTTGCACAAGTGTGCACACCCTCATATTTCTGAGGATGTGGCTGTGTTTAGAGTCAACTACTGTAATCCCTTTGAAATTTACGTTAAAGAGAGCTATCAGAGATCTGCCACCATTTAAAGCGACATAAAGTTCAGTTGTTCGAGTAGACTTTTGAACAAAAGTGTGGAGATTTTCACCAATTGCCAGTGGCCCTAGAATGCATCCCAGCTATAAACGGGGGGCGCACTTTATGACCGTAATCCTGCTAACGAACAAAGAAAACCACTCACCGGGGTTATAATAGTTTGGCATTTTGTATTTCACTTTGAACTGTCCATCTTACCTGCGATGACTTTTGTCTGAGCAAAGACAACCTTCTCGGTGATGCCTGCCTCCCTTTCGTCCAGCTTCTCGCCGATGCAGGCGATCACACCGAGGCCGTTCTCCAGTGCGTGAGCCGTCTTCTGCCCGATGAGCTGACGAGACAAGAACGGGGTGAGCTCTCGCTCTCCAGCCGCGCCCTATCCCAGCGTCCTTACGGTGAACGCGCACGTACTCACCTCGTCACTCTCGCCGAAGACATGGCGCCTCTCCGAGTGGCCCAGGATCACCCAGTGGACGCCGCAGTCCTTGATCATCGCAGGGCTGACGGCAAACGCAAGTCATGGAAGGTCAAGAGGTGCCACATTTTAAAAATTCACGTGAACTGTACATACCTGATCTCCC